GGAGAAATCCATTCTTACAATTATCCATTCTTACAATTTGGATAACCCATATTTTCTAGTGGAAAAATATCCCTGAGAAAAGTGACTCTGCTTTTAGCCATCGGAGTGTTAATATCTAAGCATCTTCAAGAAGCAACAATGCAATGATATATTTTAAAAAATGTTTTGTTTCATAGATTTCTGTAGTGTTATGTGTGTTTACATGCATTACCTCATTCAAACACCAAAATATGCAGGGAGATATTATTAAGTATAGCATCCCAGTTAAGTGTAGAGTTGCCTAGCAATTCTGCTCCTAGCTATATACCCAAAAGAGTTGAAACAGGTATTCAAACAAAAACTTGTACATGGGTGTTCATAGAAACACTATTCACCATAGCCGAAAGGCAGAAACTCAAATGTCCATCAACGAACGAATGAATAGAAAAATGTGCTTAATCCATACAATGGAATATTATTCAGCCATAAAAGGAATGAATTATTGACACATTCTACAGCATAGATGAATTTTCAAGACATTAAGTGAAGGAAGCCAGACACAAATGGCCTCATACTGTGGGATTCCATCTATATGTATCACTCCAGACAAGCAAGTTCACAGAGCCAGAGAGCAGATTAGTGGCTGCCAGGAGCCTGGGGGAGGGTGTGTGGGAAGTGACTACTTAGCGGGTACAGGATTTCCATGAACTGTACCGGACCTAGATAGTGGTGATAATTGTACAATATTGTGAAGGTACCAAATGCTGTTGAATTGTATCTTTTAAAAATGGTTAAAATGGTGAATTTCATTTTATTTGTATTTTCCAACACATACACAAAATCAACCACATTTTATAGTTGGGAAAACTGAGTCTCAGATATGTAAAGACCTACTCAAGTTCACACAGAGAGATAGAGTCAGAGCTGGGGATTAATCCGATCTATTTGGTACAGCATTGATTAAGCCAAATGTGTGCTGAGGATACGAAAGTGAAGGACACAGTCCCGTCTTTCTCCTTTCTCCTCCCCACTGAGCCTCCTGTCCTGTGCCTTACTGGCTTTCCTCTCTGTGTGGGCTGGGCCAGCCTGCGTCTGTTGAGCTCCATAACTCTCAGCCACACCATGGTCCCAGTTTCCTGGGTGACACGGTGCCCAGGCTGCTCAGCTCCATGTGGCACTGGTGGGACACAGCTTGGCTCTGCCTCCATCCCAGCATCCACCCCAAGGTGGCTGAAAGGCTCTCTCCTCTCAGCAGGTGGTCACCCTGGAGACCTTTGCACCTCTAATCCTTATTCTCTTGTAAGAATGGAAAGGTTACCTCTGAAATCAGACCACCTGCCGTGAAAGGAAGGTGGGTGGGCACGCACTCAACCACGCGCATCCATCGCTCAACACTGCCCGTCCTGACAGATTTTGCTGCCCACTGTCTCCTCCTCAAATCTTTTGTTAGCGGTTACTCAATCATTCTAGATTTTGTTCCCAGTATCCTTAACTCCTGGAGGCTTGTGAGGTGCTAAATAACAGGGTATCTTACCCTGGAGAAAGGGAGAAAAGGGGCAGACTGCTCAGTTGAAATATCCAGGGCTTTACCATGAGATCCCACCTTTAGGTCCACCCCAACGCGTTTCTCTCTTATTGAACCTGTGGATTTCCTAGGGTGTTATCGCCTCCCTCCCACATGAACCTCTGGGCCTCCTCTGGGCCTGAGAAGGAGTTCCCGATGGCTGGACTCAGCATGACAAGCACTGGAGCTGGGACTTACCTACAAGTGACCATTCTACATTCGAAGGTCAAGGAGTCTTTCAACTGGGACAAAAAGGCAGGGGCTTGGAGACGGGTTCTCCTTTGTGCTGCGTTTTCACTCCCTCTCCCAGGTGGGAAGGGTCCCACCTTCAGTCCCCCTTGTGTGCAACACTTCCATCATTTTCCCACACCTACACTCAGAGAACGAGGCGTCTTCCTGCAGCTCAGTTCTTACTCCCCAGAGTGTCTCCAGCGGGGAACGTGCACCTATAACTCTGCTAATCCCGATCTGGGACCTGCAGTTGTGGGAGACGATCTGCACCTGTCCTCTTTTATCCGGATACACCAGAACCGTCTGACAGGACAAGGCAATGAGCTTACAGGTTTCATAGGAGGAGAAATGTGACATTATTTTAGTTTTATAGACTAACGCAGAGACCAACGCTGACTGTATGTGAATGTGCCCAAGCCAGACCCAGTTTTTAGTTCACACTCGGAAATTTTGACCCCTTCATGTATTTATTTCTTGATAGATTTTATCGATGCTAAGCAAATAGAAGCTGGATTTACTCAGGGGGAAAATCCCATAGATTAATTTATTTCCTCCTGATCCAGAAATAGGGAATTCCTGGAGTTGGTGAAGGATTTTGCTCATCCTAATTTCCCCACTCCTGAGGGCCAGAGATCCACTGAGTCCTTCTTGAAGGTGACTTCTTTTGCTCTTTCTCAAAATGCCCAAGCCACATGGGCGCCCGTACTCCTCTCGGGTTTCCAAGTGAGGGTGAGCGGCTCTGAGTGCAGCCCAGACCCCCCGGTACAGCGCATGAAAATCTGGCGTGTGCAGCAAAGCCTGTCTGGCCTAATGCATTCAGCCCCTTTGTCCACGGGAGCTGATATCCTTTTGGGAAATGCTGTGATTTCAACTGAAATGTCGGGGAAGGGGAGGGCGGAGAGGGAATATGGGACTCTGCCATAGAACCCGCTAACTCCAACCACTTAATAACCTGGCTGAAAGCCACGATCGATACAGAGCCGTCAGCTGGGCTCCAGCCCCTCTCTCCTTCCCAATCAATCAACAAGATTTAGTAAGCCACCAGTTGGAATCCATGTCACTTAAAAAGTATAGGTTCCTAGACCGGTCCTACAGAGGCTGATTAATTCCTCCTGGGCACTTTGATTAGCTTCGCCTGGAGAACAGTAGCCATTGATGGAGGCCCAGCTGTTAGACCTTCCAAATGGAGACCTGGGACAAGCAGGCATTTAGCACGTGATCCGCTCATTTCTACATTTTTCTCACTAAACATAACTCTTCTGTCACTTAATAGTACATTTTGTTTTTATAGACTTGACAAGAAGTCTTTATCCTGTGCCAAACTTTTTACATTCCTTCTTTGTGCATTTATTTTCACATGAGGTATGTTGTGATAATTTTGGCAGTTATAAGTATGCCTCTTGTTTCGTATGAGGAAATGGGGGCAAGGCTGCCCTTTCTCTCAACAGGAGTCGAGAGTGAGAGCCACGCAGTCGGCCTGAGACCTCACCTCCCCAAGGAATCTGCGCACCCCTGACAAGGATCGGGAAGGAGCCTACAGAGTCTGGAGTAAGACTTGGCTTCTCCAAACCTCCTCACCCCCAGTAGAGTCTAGGGTCAGCCCCAGACACCCACCCCTGTCTGCACTTCTACACTTTTGCCCCCACACTTCTAATTGTCTTGAGTCCTTCATGACGAAATCTCACTTGCTCCTTTGTCTCTGTTCATGTCCACCACATACAAAGTTCCAGATGCCCAGACGCTGTATCTCTAAGCCCAGTAGTGCCCCAAAGGTGCTCTGCACCCATCATTGCATTGCCTGCCTCTCCCCAACTCTCGGAGACCACCCATGGTGACCACCAGAATTCCTGGTGGTCCATCATTAGCAAAATCCTCTATGTCTGCATAGAGGATGCAGACATAGCATCTCTCCTCTGGACAGTCACCAGAGGAGAGCTGGTGCAAGCTCTCCTCTGGACAGTCACCTGTTCTTCTTATTCTAGTGGGAATGTGCTTTTGTGGGCAGTTTTCTCTGCAACTGTCTAAGTTATGACTAGCTTCTCTCCTGCACCCTCCCTCACGCCTCTGGGCCTCCTGGTCTCCACCCCCCCTTCATTGCAACCCCCATCTCACTCTCATGTTAGTAAGTGGCATCAGGCCCTCCCTCCCCTTCCTTCCGAGCTGCTTTCCTTGACCAAGCCCTCAAGTCTTTCTGGCATTTCTCCCATCCAAGTACTACCTGGCCTGACCCTGCTTAGCTTCTGAGATGGGACCAGATCAGGTGCATTCCGGGTGGTATGGCCATAGACATTGCCGGCATTTCTTGACAATTTCATATTCCAGAAGGCTATCTCACTCTCCCCAGTGCCACTCCCATCTTCATTCTTGGTGATTTCCAGATACCTGTGGGTAACATTCCGTGTTCTTGAATTGCTCTTCTCCGTTGAGCTTATATATTCCACCTCACCTTGGCTATGCATCCCCAAGGCCTTATCCTGAAACTCATCGTCACCAAAAACAATACTTTCCATAATCTCTATTTTATGCAACTCTTTCCGACTGCTACCTCCTACATTTCAACGCACTACACCCAGTGTCCAACTCTATAAATCCTTCAGTCTCATAGGGACAGTCATTCTACTGATTCAATCTTTCCCCCCTGCCCACACCGCCGTGATATTATTGCTTCCCTCCTCATCTGCTTTAAATTCCACGATTAACCACGATTAACCATTATTTCACTTTCTTGCAGGCGCCCTCAACTCGTGTGTGCATCTCACTTTGTCTTACCCTCCCTCCTCCGTGCCTGCACCTGTGTGGCCCGATGTGGCTGGCGAAAAACAAAAACAAACCCACCCGGGGCCGATTCTCTTTTATTTTGACTCATGACTACGAACATAACTCTGTGAGCAGTAACACTTCCGTCGTTCATCCACTCTCCTGTCTCAGATGACTGTTTTACACCTTCTTCTTTCACCTCGAAATCCCGCGACCTTCCTCGGGCGCCCCACTCTCAGCGGGTGACCTTGCTTCCCCGTATGGCTGGGAAAATGAAGCGGTCGTAAGAGGCTTTCCTGGAACTCCCACCACCATCTCCAGCCACTTGCAGCATCTGCGCCATATGCTCTGCCTTCTGGCCTGTGTCTCTGGATGGACCGTCTGCGGTCCTGTGACAAGGCGACCCTGCCCCTGCACATCCATTCCGCCCCTCCCCCGCCCGGCGACAGTGACAACACAGCAGCCACTCTCCTGCGCCTTTACAGCGTGGTCCTCACGCTCTCCCCGCGCCCTCACGCTGGTGCTTGCTCCAGCTTAAAGAGCGAAACCACTGTTTGCCTGTTTCCCCCACCAGCTCCCACCTGCTCTTTCTACTTCTATTGCATTTGGAGATGGCTTCAACAAGGTCATTTTCGATGGAAGGATTGGGGCAAAAGCCCAGTCAGAGCTGGTTTAAGAGACAAGGGGAGAAGAGGAACTGGAGCCCCTGAGTCTAGCCAACTCTTTCAAAGAGGTTGCTTCAGAGGGGAACGGCAGACTGCTCTTAGTTTAGTTATTTTAAATTTAAGTGAGTTAAGGTCCTGGGGAAAGTAGGTTTACATTTATCTTGGGCTCATTAGAAGCCAGGCGTGCTCACAGGACTGGGGGGCAGATGGATGCGGAGAGATACAGATGTCTGTCCCTTCTCCCAGAGAGTCCAGGCCAACTGGGAGAGACAGAGGTCATCAGGAGGGGATGGGCAGGGTGGGGACATGACTGCGTGCTGACAACAGGACAGGGGCCCTCATCCTGCCCTTACGTGCCCTAGGACCTCCATTTGCAGATACCACTTTGCTTTCTCATAGGCCCTCCCTATCTCCTTTTTAGCCTCACCTGGGCTGGATGGCACCTTCCCAGGCAGACCAGTGGGGGACTCTCCTAAGGACAGGCGTGGCCCTGTGCTGAGATGGAGCAAGCTCCTTCACCCAGCCAGCCCGCAGGACTCCCAACTTGGGGTCTCAGTGTGGGCCTGGCTGTGCCCACTCATCTCCTGGTGCTCCCATGGGAGACCAACCAACCCAGTCTGCCTGCCCTCCAAGTTCTGTCTCTTGGATTCAGGGAATATACTTCTCCCCTCCAAGGGGTGACACCAGCTCTCTACGTGTGTAGCCCCACGGGCAACTATGCTGCTGCCACCGAGTGGACACCCAAGGGCACATCCTGACTTTAATTCTCCCCTTTCCTTTCTCCCTCCAGAAAATATATCAGAGTATAATTGACCAAGATTGAGGTGACTCCAAGATAACTTTGATGCTGCTTTGATCCAGTTTTAAAAGTAAATTACTTGCAAATATCAATATTTTAACCATCATTAGCAACTTAGTACTAGCATCCTGTCTCACAAGGGACCAGGCCCCTCGCTGCAGTTGAAACTGCAATTAACGCTTGCAAGCTACATGCAAGCGTGGTCCGTCAGGCGGGGACCGTGGCACCTTCGAGAGTGTGTGTCTGCCTGCCGGGAGCAGGCCACTGACGTCCGGTCCATTGCTGTCATCAACTACCCAGACATGACCCCCCTTCTGAGTTTAGCTGAGTTTCAAGAGAAGCTGGAGATCCAGATTTTAAGGGAATCTTTCTTATTTTTAAATATTGAAGACTAATTAAAAATCTTCAGAAATGCTGTGCAGTGCAAACCAAATACAACCATAAGTTGAATTTGGCCTATGGGCAGACACCCTGCCAACTCTGCCCTCATGCCGCCGGGCCTGTGTGTTCCCGGGACACGCTCTGTGTGTCTACCTGAGGTCTCACCCCGCTTCCAGGTCAGTGTTTCAGTGCCAGGCCCTCACCTCCAGCGTCTTCCTTGCCATCTGGGGCGGCGGGGAGAGGACCGGGGTCTGCATGGCCTGGAGGTAGAGAGAGGGGAAGAGAAAGCAAAGTTGGTGCTTTTCACAATCAACATCCTGCGGGGTCACTTGCCTGGTGAAGAATGTGGCAGAAGATTCACTGTGACATTTCCAGAGCACCGAGAAACAAACTCATGCTCAGCTCGCTCAGCTAATTCTGTGAGCTTTGGGATGTCTTGTCATGGGGGTGCAGGCTCCTGGCGGCAACAGTGTCAGCATGACAGGCTTTCCAGGTGGGACGCCAGCTAGGTAGGCCTTGGGCTAGATGCTGCTGGACAGCCAGATGGCCTGCAGGGGGGAGGAGGGTGGGGACCGAGGGAAGTGTGGGCAGGGAGGCAGGAGTCTACCCGCCAGCTCTGGCCAGTGCCTCAGGCCCAGAAGGTCAGCCCCTCCTCACCTGGAGTGACGGGGTGGGGTAGGGGGGCTTTGGGGAAGGCAGCCTCTCTCCCTCCCCCATACCCCCACCATCCTTGGGACAGTGTCGCATAAGCTGGGGTGTGTGATCCAGGGTGCACTCCGGTTGGTTTTACTCGTGGGAGGAGGCTGTTTGTTAGTGTGCTTGTTTGTTTTGGTTAGGGGCAGGCGTGCACGCAGGCCCATGTGGGGCAGGCGTCCAATCCCCCGGGGGCCGATGCTAGAACAGCCCCCACCACTGTTCTGTCCCCCTGAGTGTCTAGTGTTGAGGATGGTGCAGCATGACACTCACCCACTCAGCCATTCACTCACTCATTCACTCGCCTACTCACTCGTTCACTCACTCATTCACTTATTCAGTCACTCATTCATTCACTGGCTCATTCATTCATTCACAAAGCTATAGGCCACCTACAGCACTGTTCTAGACATTAAGAATTTGGCAGGGGGAGAACAGTCACATTCTGGTGAGGAGGCAGGGACGGCCAGACAATAACAATGAACGATGAGCTATATCCCATAGTCTGCATCTGGAGCTGACAATACTTTCAGGGAAAATGAGCAGACGAAGGCTCACAGTGGCTAGACAGGGCAGAGGGAGGACAGGAGGCGCCACCTGAGAAGAGTCTGGGGGCAGAGCAGGAGCAAGGCTGGCGAGCACCTGAGGGAAGGTGTCTGGGCAGAGAGGAGAGCAGGCGTGGAGGCCCCGAGTGCAGGTGTGCTTGGGCTTCCGAGGAAGGGCACTGACTCTCAGCGTGGCTGGGGAGAAGCCAGACACAGGTGGGGGCCGGAGAGGATTGGGAGGGATCAGAGGCCAGGAGCGTGGGGCGTCTGGGCCGTGACACGACAGGGACCCACTGGAGGCTTTGGGTGGGGGATGGGGGGGCGCAGGCTGATTCCCATCTTAAAGGGATCCGTCTGGCCACAGTGCTGACAATCCAGCTGGAGGGGGCAGGAGTGGGAGCAGGGAGCTGAGTGAGGAGGCTGCTGCGGGAGTCAAGGCCTGAACCGACGGTGACCTAGACTTGGGCGGTCGGGGTGGAGGTGATGTCGGTGGGATCGGGGAAATATTTTCAGGACCAAGTCAGTAGGGTTTGCATTCGGTTCTCCCAGCGCCCAGGTAGGACAGTGAGGGAGGTGCACACGGCAGGGGTGCGGGAGCTCCAGCCTACCCCGTTCCTGGGCCGGGCAGGCGGATCTCTGTCCCTTGGAGCCTCCGCTGTCTCCAGCCGTGCTCAGCAACCCCAGGGGCGCTGCTCTGCCCGGCGCTGCGCCGTCTGTACTGGTGCCCAGGCCAGGCCCCACGTCCTGCTTCTCCAGTAGCACCAGTGCCCCAAGACACACGGCCAAGTACCTGCTCTCCTACCAGACTCAGGCAGGTTTTGGGGGTGGACACCCACCCCACACCTCTCTGCCAGCTGCTGGGGGCCTGTCTGCAGGCTCCTTTCCATGCATCAGGAACCAGGGCGAGATAGAAAGAACAGATGCATGTGACCACAGGACCTCTTCACAGCAGTGCCGTCGATTGAAGCCCAGCTCTCTTCTTTTTCTTTAGTCCTCATCCTTGAGCAAGTTCAGCCTCTCTTACAACTTCAACACCCTTTGCTCTCTAGCTGACTCTTCTTGGGCCCTCTGGCTTGTGTTCTGACTTCAAAGGACACATCCATTTGATGGGCTTGGCGGCGGACGGGAGGAATGCGCAGGGGTTCTCTTCTTGCTCTTTCTAGGAATCTACTGATAGTTTCTTGGATCAAAGAACACCGCTTGTTGAATTTTCTGAAGTTCACATCTTAGATATATTTTCTACCTCCATTCCTTCCTCCCTTCACCCACCCCTTCCTTCACTCTTTGACTTTGAGTCTTAGAGGAGGCACATTTGGCTGTCGGAGCCAGCAAGGACTTTAGATGCATACAAATCCAAGTCAAAACTCTTCATCCATCAATCGTCTGACTGTGTGATTTGGAGCAGATATCTTAATTCTCCTCATCATAGAATGAAGATGACCATATCTACCTTTAGGGTTTTTGTTTTTAAAGATTACACAGGATTAAACCTTATAAAATGGCCTAGCACAGTGGCTAACTGGTGTTGAGATCTCAGGAAAGAGCAATTGTTCTCCAAGCCGCTCTTCCCTTTGAAGGAAAGAGAACAGGGTGGTGTTGGTGATTCTGCGGAGAAGCTGGACCTCCAGGCTCTACACGGAGCCTCCACGAGGTCGGGGAACATTCTCTGTGAAATCGCTGGGTTCTGCACAGTGGCTGGAACACAGCAGGGCTTCCAACATTTTAATCGATGGATAGCAGAAAGGAAGAAGGAGGGAAGGCAAGAGGGAGGGAAGCAGTAAAGAAAAATAAGAGAGCATTTGTGGGACAGATCTGATAAGTGAGGCCTGTGGGCTGCATGATAAAGTCTACTTCACTTTGTGGGGAAGGGGGAGGTTGAATGCAAGGTCAAGCTTTTCCTTATACTACAACTGACACAGAGAAAGGGCAAGGGGAAGCCTATGTTGAATTATTATTATTATTGTAATTATTAATTTCACCACTGAACGATTAGGCAGTTTCCTTTTTGTTAAAATCCAGAGCTTTTGCTCCTATCTAGAGAGAAACAGTTTTAGTCGTGTGGCAGTTTCAATTCTGAGCCAAAGAAGTCATTTATTTGACTTCTTTGAACAGAAGAATGAAACATTTCTTTAAGAATGGGCACATAATCTACAGCCCGGAATGACTGTATTAGGGTTTAGTTAACGCAATGCCCGCTTTGAAGCTGCAGAAGCCGCAGAGCCGTGGGCATGCCGTCTCCCTGCACAGCAACCAGTGGCTGCGGCAGGGCCAGCCTCCTCTCCTTTGCATGGGATGGCGGTTCGAGAGGGGCCACAAGTCCCCAAAGCTGGCGTTGCTGGGGCTGAATGAATAGAGAGAGTGGCCTTTATCAAAAAGTCCCCAAACAATAAATGCTGGCGTGGATGCGGAGAGATAGGAACACTCCTATACTGCTGGTGGGACTGCAAACTAGTTCAACCTCTGTGGGAAGCAATATGGAGATACCTTAGAGTGATACAAGTGGATCTGCCATTTGATCCAGCAATCCCATTACTGGGCATCTACCCAAAAGATCCAATGACACTCTACAAAAAGACACCTGCACTCGAATGTTTATAGGAGTACAATTCATAATTCCAAAGCTGTGGAAACAACCCAAGCGCCCATCAATTCATGAGTGGATTAATAAAATGTGGTATATGTGTACTGTGGAGTAATATTCAGGTCTAAGAAACAACAGTGTTATAGCACATCTTGTATTTTCCTGGATAGAGCTGGAACCCATACTACTAAGTGAAGTATCCCAAGAATGGAAAAACAAGCCTCACCAACAAACTGGTATTAACCGAGCAGCACCTAAGTGGACTCATAGGAACTAAAGTAATAGGGCATTGGGCAGGTGGGAGGGGGGTGGGTGCGGGTGTATACATACATAATGAGTGAGATGTGCACTGTCTGGGGGATGATCATGCTGGAAGCTCAGATTTGTGGGGGGAGGGGGAGCAAGGGCATTATTTGAAACCTTGAAATTTGTACCCCCACAATATGCTGAAATTAAATAAAGAAAAAAACTGAAAAAGAAAAAAAAAGCACAGCGCAGAGCCGGTTCTCTTCTCATCATCTCACTGTTGGTACAGGACCCCCAAAGCATCGGTCACTTGATTTGCTAGCCAGTTTATTACATGCTCTCCATCTGGAGAGGGGATCATCATTTTGTCCTGGGAAGGAGAGTATTAAGTTCCTTCTTTCTTGTGCAGCCCCTCAGCGATTTGCTCCTTCTATTTATCCAGTGAAACTTTCGGGGGCCTCTTCCGCGCACCCCGATGCGGCCCTCTATGCGTGCTGCAATGAACATAATGGGTGCTGTAGAAGGAACCCGTGTTTCCTTCTTCTCATAGGAAGAACATGCCCATTCTTCTTTGTAATACCATTGCTATTTCTTCTCCAGGAAGTAGGAGTCGACTTATCCAACCCCTAACTCTGTAAAAAGGAAAGCTCATCCGTTTCTTGCTTCTTTCTTGCATCCTGGCTGTGAGCATTCTCATCCTTACATCTTCCCTGCGGTGAAAGCCCTGCCCTGCCTCCCTCTCTGCTGTGTGTGGGAGGGATGTCGCAACCCAACCAAGTCCCTCACCTGCTGACGCCAATACACCAAGACAGCAGAAGTTCCAGCAGAGAAAGAGTTTAATATCACAGGCACCATGCAAGGACTTGGGAAGAATTTCTCAAATTCGTCTCCCTGAGAAAGGATTTTTAAAGATCGTTTGGTGGGCAAAGGGCTAGGGAATTGAGTCTGCTGATTGGCAGGGTGTGAGCTGATGGGGTTGGGAAGCAGTGATTATCTTCTCATTGGGAGATTTCCTGGGCTGGGGGTCCCAAGGCTGTTGGATCCATTCCCACTCCTGTCCACAGGTCTGGTTGGCGTCAGTGGGTCCCCCCCCACCTTAGAATGCAGAGTCTGAAAAATTATTCCAAGACCAGTGTTAGGCTTTATGATAGTAGTGCTATCTAGAGAAGCACACGTCTTGGGCTTTACAGTGGCAGTGTTCTCTGTAGGAGTCGTGGGGGAGTCACAGACCTTGCACCTATTAGGAAGGACAGTGCCATCAAAGAGTGGCCAGTTGCCGCAGTAAGGAAGTTAGGGAACCATGGCTGGTTCACTTCTGGCCAAATCTATACTTAAAAAAAAATCAAACTTTGATTATTATTTATACCTTATGACTCTATATTATTTTAATATAGACAGGTTCAGGGATTTAATGTTGAACTGGGAGGTCATTGCCATTGAGGGG